ACCATCCCACAAGCAGGGCATTCACTTAGAAGAGATGGTATTTGAAAGCCCATCAAAGGAAAGCTCAGACTCTTCACACGGCAGTTCACTGTACCCAAAGTGAAGGCATGCCCATCCAAGGCCCACCCAAGGCTGGCCTTCCCCCAGGAGCTGCTGTGAAAGGGCCATTGTTGCCTAGGACCAGGCAAGGTTTCCTGAGTGCCAAGGAAAACACTGTGTTGCTTGTTGAGACTTACTTTGCAGCTGAGGATGGCCTTGAACTCCTGATCCTCTTGCCTTTGCCTCCAGAGTGCTGGGATCATGCCCAGGGCTTCATGCATGCCAGGCAAGCACAATCCTAACTAATCCACAACTCCTGTTCTGGAAGGTTCACTTTGAGCGGAGACATAGGTGCTACAGCCATGAGGCACGGAGAGGTAGTGACCACTAGCTCTCATGGTGACAAGTAGCAGTCAAGGGCTATGCTCAGGCCTGGCTCCAGAGTCGTCCCCCGCTCCCCACCTTCCTGAGCACACAGTTACTACAGATGTGAAGTGACCAAGCTCCTCTCCCTTCTCTCCCTGTGCCCCCATGGCACACCTTCCATATCCCCCCCTCACCCAGCCTTGTTCCCACTCGCCCTGATGCTCACGTCTTCACTCCCAGAGTTTCTACTTCTTAACTCTCTCCCTGCCCTCTTGGAGAGTGGTCCCCAGCAAAGAGCATCAGCCCATTCCACGTGTGGGTAAACAGAGCCTCTGGGGTGCTGCAGACATGACAAGGATATACTCTCACCAGACACAAGGACCCTGGACTCCGAACCTCTTGGGTCTCCGCAGAAGGCTTGGGTGAGGAGGAGACATCTCACACAAATGCCTTGGTCTGAGATTCATGTCCAGTGTCAGCTCTCTGCCCGGATCCTTGAGGTATTGACGGGGGCGTGTGTGTGTGTGTGTGTGTGTGTGTGTGTGTGTGTGTGTGTGTGTGTGTGTGTGTATTTAGCCAGAAGAAATAAGTTCAGTTTTCTGAGTCGTCTGCACCGGCTGGCATTTAAACACACCTTCGTCGATTAAGGACTCTGAGCCGTGGATTCTCTGTGTTGCCGATGAATGTAAAGTGGTGCCGTTGAGTGACCTTTACAACTCCGGGTCTCTCTTTACTCTGGCTGGCTGGCAGGCTCTCCAGAGCCCAGTCTCTGCCTCTGAGCCTGCACTGGCATGAACAATTAAAGTTCATGGGGTGGGGGCAATTCCAGTTCCAGGATCGGCATCACGGGGTCCCGGCACTGGATCCAGGCCTGGAGCCAGAGGGTTCATAGCCATTCTGAGGGAGCAAGTCCAGTGAGTGGCACAGCCTCTGCTGGGGTCCCAGGGTGGCCCCTCTGTGGGGTCCATACTGGAGAGAGATAGGCTTGCTCAGCCTGAAGCAGCAAGACAGATTACAGATAGCCTTCCAGTTCATCCCAGGTCCCCTCCTCTGCCTGCTGAGACCCAGGCATCTTGCCATTTTGGGGGACACCTCCCTGGGAAGAGTCTCCTGTCCTCTCCAGAGTCCTCAGATGCTTGCTGGTCTCCATTGCTCATCCTGGGCATTGTGCATTTGGAGGAATGTTTCTGCTTGGTGGTGTCTCTGAACTTGACTTTGCTCATTGTAGTAGTAAGGAAGGGGACGATTATTTGGGTCACAGTTGCAGGGCACAGTCCACCATGGGGAGGAGTGCATGAATGGCAGCTGCTCACATGGCATCCATGGTCAGAAGCAGTGAGGGGGGGGGGATGCTGGGGCTCAGCAGCCCAGGACCCCGATCACCACATGACACTGCCCGTTGTTCACAGGGGGTCTTCCCTCCTTAGACCACCTAGTCTAGAAACTCCCTCACGGGCATGCCCAGCGGCTTGTCTCCTAGGTGATTCTGATGATCCTGATGAGCTGTTGATATTAACCGTCGCGTTTGCTGACCTCTGCATCCACAGCCGAAGATGCCTCCTCTGCTCTGCCCACCCCTCCCCCACCACCATGGAAAAGCGGCATGGGTGGGCCTGCTTTCGAGAAGTCATGGTAAAGACAGAGGTAGGGGTAGATGAACCAGAGAGCGGAAGAAGATGAAGGTGGGTGTGGAGGACAGGGTCCTTTCTGTCTGTTCTCCCCTTTCTCTAACCTTCGACCTTGCAGGGTGTCCAGGAGAGCAAAGGAACTCCGTGGCCTGGGCTGCAGCCCTGTGAGTGAGCGCCGTGAACAGGCAAGACTTCAACGGGCTAGTGGAGTTTGCTTTGGCCTCTCTGCCATTACCAAGAGAGGCATCGGCCCCAGCCTGGCTGAAAGGTCAGCATCCCTGACCAAGGCAGCCACACCACAGTGAGAAGGAGTGAGAAGAAGCTGGGTATGCTTCTGGGAGCCATGGGGGATGCTTGTTACACAGCCCTGTTGCCTGTAAAAGCTGATCGATGTAGTGGAGATGCATGTGGACTAAAGGAAGGTTCCTTCCTCCCTGGTGGGCAGTTAACGTGAATGAATGGTGCAGTAGTGAACCATGGCACACTTATGGGCAGAATTCACCCTCTGCACCACCAGCTGGGTAGCTGGTGCCCCGACCCCAAGGTCTCTTTAAAGGCAGCACACACAGCAGCATTTGGGTCTGGTGTGCTCACACTGGAGTGTGAATGGAATCAGATAATTTTTCACCGGGAAGGACCAGTTAAACATCCTTTCAATCCATAAGAGATAAGCAGGCTGTCAATGCTACTCTAGGACCTTGCTTTTGTTTCCAGGAATCCTTTACAAAGCAAAGCCTGCCTGACCATGGCCTGGGCCTTTCTGACGCCATGCCATTTCTGACTCCTCCGCCTCCATGGAAAACTGTGGACACAGAACTCCATCCAGCCCCAGGCAGGTAGGTATAAGAGCAGCTTGGAGAACACGCTAGACTCAGAGGCACCAAGGGAAAGGACGTGACCTCAAACCTGCATTAGATAGGAAACCACATGGCCAACATAGAGCCACTGTTCCCAGGATAGAGGTCCACCCAGTGGTTAATGAACTGGCCATGGTTTCCAGACTGGGCCTCAACATGAATATTCTCCCATAGCAAGGAGCTGTGCAGGGCTGTGGACCAACCTCTGCATATAGTACTGGCTGGCTCCTCAGGGCAGAAGCAGCAGGAGTGAATATCGGGGAGAGGAGCTGCTTCCAGGCCATCGTCCTGACCAGCTGAGTTTGGTGTGAAAGTTGGAGCCAAGGAGACGAGGCCCAGGGCCTAGCCCGTGTGTGAGTACTCACGTACATTTACCCTGAGCATGTCAATGTGCACGCTCACCAGGCTTTGCTGTCGGCCTGTGATGTGCCCAGAAATGCTGGCCCTGGTGGCACAGAATTTAATCAGAAGACAGGAGCCATCCCTGCAGCAGCTGAGGCAAGAGGAGTACCACAAGTTCAAAGCCAGCCTGAGCTACATCACAAGTTCTGGTGCAGTCTGGGTTACAGAGTCAGATCACATCTAAAATTAAAAAAAAAAAAAGTCCAAAATAATAGAAGACTGCAATGTACAAAGGCTGCTCCTCTCTGGGTGCAACCCAGAGGGTAATATACAAAGCCTGCTCCTCCGTGGGCATGACCCCACATCGCTCTCCTTCCTGCTTCCTATACCTGAGCTGCTAATCCTCTGGCTCCCTGATAAGAAGGGAGCCTCACTCCATTTTTATCGATGAGAAGATGGCGTCGCTGAGGGACCAAGGCTTTGTCAAGTTCACAGAGCCAAGGTGTGCTGACCCCAGGAGCAAGGCCATGCTGGGATTTTAGCTAAGATGGTAATCACCTGGTCTTGGCCACACAGGCCACATACAGAGAGTTGTGTGGAACCTGGGAGTCAGGGTAGGTGGACTGGGATAGAGTCAGAGGGCAGGGCCCCTAAGCAGATTGTCCAGAACAAGCCAGAGAAGAGATAGCAGGAGCCCACCCTTATATGACTGTGAGTGGGCAGCAAGGGAGGTGTGGGCATGGAGTCTTGGGTACTTCTAGCAGGAGCCATGGGCCCAGCCCGACCCTCTGTCCCAGACCCCAGCCCCCAGTCTGGTCCCAGTGTGGGATGCCTGACATTTCTCAGCTGACCACGTGTGGAGTGCCTCCCTGCCAGGCCCATGTCCCTTCTTGAAGGCACATCCATGGGCCAAACACTCCTCAAAGGCCCTGCACTGGAACCAGCCTGACAGGAACTGGCTATGGCAATTGCCAGCTCTTCCATAGCAAGGAGAACGAACCATCGCAGCTCATTCCTCCCTCTCCAAATTCCACCGAGTATCATTCCAGGCCCCTCAGGCCTGCCCACGGCACCCGCACCCACAAAGCCCATCAACACTAATGGCCTCACCATTGGGGGAAGATGCTGCGTGTCCGGGGACAAGGCACAGAAAGCCAGGGAAGCAGAAAGCCCAAGCCGACAGCCCTTCTGAGCTCCCAGATGCTTGATAGGGCACACGCTTTCCCACCAGCCCCCTTGGAGCTGGCTTAGCACCCAGAGCAGACCCCACCGAAACGGGCTCCTCCTGGTGAGCCTTGAAAACAGCTACAGAGTCAGAAAACCGGAGACTCGGGCCCAGAACGGCCTCCATCACTTTGGGGATCAGTAACGGTCCCCCGTCCCCCAGCAGTTCCTCAGCCACACTTGCCCCACTCACCCCTCAGCACGAGAAGGAGCCACCCTTCTCCTCCCAAAGGCCCAGGCTACTTGCCACCCAGTACAGCATCTCTTCTGAAAACGCACGGCCATGCCAGCCACACATCCTCAGGAGGGGACAAGACTGTGATGTTTGGGTGGTGGCCAGAAGTAGCAAAAGATGGAAAGGCTGTTAAGCGGGCACGGACATGGCCCCCCTCCCCCGGAGCCAGATCCTTATACTTCTCTTCCCAGCTAGAGCGGACATAGGAACCATAGAAAGCCACTCCTACCCCCCACCCCCCTTGAGCCCCTTGCATGCCGGGGCCACAGGCAGCCCCCCTTCCCGAGGGAGCAATCCCTCACTCCTTACCTGTGCACGAAGCTGGTCGCGCGCTGTCCAGCAGAAGGGGGAAGGCGGGCTCGCTAAGCTACTCCAGGCTTTCCAAGGCCAGGCCACATCTTTCCTCAAAGCAGCCCCTGGCCACCCTCCCAAGGCATGCACATCTCGGTCACATGTATGCAGGTGCTTTGTGGGGGTGGGGGTTCTCGGAGCCCGGGGCAGATATTCTTAGAGGTCATCGGCCGCCAGCCCACCCCAGGGGACCACTACCCCAGAGCAGGGCTCCACAGCCAGGCAGGGGCCACTGTCATCTGCGTGAGTATCAGGCACTGTGCTCAGACTCCGGCTAGGCTGGCCGCTCTCAGGCTGAGGCTAGGTTTATTTTTAGAGCCCGGCCCTTCCCTAGACGCCAGGATCCCAGCTGAGATTTCCAGCCACTCAAACTAGCCCATTATGGGCAGAGCTGTCCCTGATTGGGAATGTTCTAGAAGGGAGTGGAGACCCTTAGAGCATTTGGTCCTACTCATCCCCATGTAAAAAACGAGGGCTGGGCCTGGGTGCCAAGGTCCTTCTGTCGCTAGGCTGGCTAAGCCTGGGATGAACAGAGACAGGGTGCTCCCTTCTCTGGACTGTCTCGGTCCCCTCATCCCAAAGATGAAACAGACCAGACCCACCTGTCCAGAGCACATCTGGGTTGGTGTCACCAGCAATTCCTATTCCATGCCTTCCCCAACTGGGGTCATACAGGGGTCCCATCACATCCCCCCCCTCCCCACGGCTTGCACACATCACAAAGTACTGGACAATCAGGGCACAGTAACCTTCCCTTCTGGTATACTAAAGTCAGCCCGCTCCTCTCCTACAAGCTCTCCAGAACGGCACATGTCTGATGGATGGACTCCAAGGTCTAGGAGGGTAAGGGACTTGCTCAGAGCCCCACCAAATGGTGGCAGCATGGGGTTCTCCATGACAGAAATTTGCTAATCTTTGCAAACCGGACTCAGCGAGCTTTGGCCTCAGTGTGGTAGCAACGTGTTCCCATTGCAGACTCTGAGCTGAGGAAGCTGGACCTTTATGGCCTGCCCACTGGCCTCCTGGGCAGGTGTTGCTCCAGACGCCTCAGAGCCTCCAGGCTGATAGCACGACCTCCGTTCTTTGAGACTAGCCTGTGTCCTCAGGTCCCACATACTTGTTCCCCCACCTCCAGTCCCTGCTACCTTCTCGGGGAAGGAGAAGATCGACTGACCAGATGGTACAGCAGGGTAGCTAGGGATACAGGCAGAGATCCCCTCCCCACACGGAGAGAGGTGTCAGCGTTGACTCCTCATGCTGCAGGAAGGCTTTCTCTGCCATGCTCACAGACTTCTTATAAGTCCTACCCCTGGAGACCTCAGGCCACCAGGCTCCTAGACTACTCTATGACAGGGCCTGACCCCTTGAGGCACACAAGTGGCTAGCCCCCCACCTCCCCACCCTCACCCCCCAGCCCTCCCCACTCCCCACCCCCATCCCCACCTAAGGAGTTCTACCAGCTAAGCCCTGCCCCTGAGGAGCTCCAATGTCCAGGCCCTGCCCTACAAAAAAATCCCAGTGGTTGCCCCAAGTTCAGGCCACATAATCCCTCCAATCCCGGGCCACCCTGGAAAATTCTGCCTCTCTGCCACCACCTAAACCCTATATAAACTCTGTCTTTTGCTCAGTTCTCTGCTGCTTCTCACCCAAGCAGAAGCAGCCACTGTCCTGGGTTTGGTTTTTGTTGTTGTTGTTTGTTTGTTTGTTTGTTTGTTTGTTTGTTTGTTTGTTTTTTCCCTCCCAATAAATTTCTTGCTTGAAGTTTGTTGTGTGGTATGACTTTGTGGTATTCCTTGGCTCCTGACTGCCAGGACACCTTTCCATCTGAGCTGTAATACTTACAGTCAGCCCACTGGAGGACTTCCAGTCTTCTATCAGGAAAGAGGGAGCCCCTTCACCCCGGCCCCCACTTCTCAGCCATGGCCATGCATTTCAGGATGGCTCACCAGGCTCAGCCAGAGGATTATGCCTGGCCTGTGTTACAGAAATGCCTGGGGTGGTAGTGGCCGGTCCATCTCCCCCTCACTCGGGAGGAACCAGGACTTCTCCCACCTCCCAGACGCAGGCCAGGGCCAGCCAGCCTGCCCTGCGGGAGTTACTGCTGGTGTCCTGACTTGACTCCACACATTGCTCCCCCACAACAGGGGAGCAGTCCCCGAGGTAGGATGGTAGCCCCAAAGGGCCCCAGTGCCTGCAATTCCTGCTCAAGGACAGGGCCTCCCAGAGGAGGGGGCAAGACATGATGGGCTCCCCATGATGTCATACCACAGGGCCGTTTCAAACTGTTTTCTAAAAATTATTTAATATCCTGGGGAATGGTGGTGAGGGAGTAAAGTAGATTACAGGCTGTAAATATAGAATGATTTCAATTTTGTCTAAGACATATATTTATAGTTGGATACGGGAGCTGGTGCCGCTCCCAGCACCAGCCTGGTGCCAGTGCTGCGCCGGGACGCTTTCCTCTTCCTGTTGAAGTTTTGGTGGGTTCTCCTTATTTTACACCCCGAGGAGGGCTTGTCCAGGATTCAGAAAAGGACACGAGACACTTTTTAAAAGGGTTTTTTTCTTAGCCCTGCCATCCCTAAAACACCATCCCATCCCCGGACTCTTGTTTCAGAGGAGTCTGTGATTGACAAGAATGGTGGCCATGGCAACCACAGTGACCTCTGACCTCTAGGAGGCTTGGCTCCCATTCCCCCCGCCCCCCCGCCCCGCCCCAAGTCGCCTGCTTCATTGAGGCAAGAAGTGGCTCCTGAGGCCTCTGCCTCTGATCCCAAGATACAGGCACAAGCCCTCCCTGACCCAGTGACCTCAGGAAAATGAGAGTCTGGCCTCACTGTGGCTGGTGGAAAAGACTAGCCTTGGGAAACCCCTGGAGACTCATGAGAGGGCCGGGCACTTGGACACCAGGGTCTTCAGGGGAATGATTTGGTGATGTCATTCTGAATGTATGCTCTGAGGAAACCACAGTCCCCGAGGCCAGTCAGATTGGCTCTAGAGGGAGGTGGGCAGGGGCAGTGCCTTGATGGACAGACACCCAAAGATGGCTGTGAATGAGGAAAGGCAGGGCCAGCCATGGCGAGGGGGAGCTGGCTCTAGAGATGTACAGGCCTGATGAATGTGACTCAGGCAGGTCCCTGTTCTCTCTGGCCTCAGTTTCCCTATCTGCTCAACCAGAGGTTCAGGCTGCAGGACCTCTAAGGGCCTGTGCACCTGACTGCAGAAGGGCCTGGGGGCATCCCTAGCAGGTGGGCACACTGCCCCTGGCTTGAGGGCTGTGCACTTGTCCGCTTGGCACCAGCCAGTCACCTGCCTGGGCAGCTCTTCAGGGTCCTGGGGACCGGGTGGGCCAGTGGTGTGAATATGCTGTTAGCACATGTTTGGGTCTTTCCACGGTGTCAGAATTTATTGAACAACAGTTCTCACAGTTCGGTGGTTTCAATGGCAGCAATGCACTTAATGTCCCCGCTCTCCTTGATGGTGAGGAGGACGCAGGCTTTTGCTTCGATCTTAATTACTAATATTAACTCTCTAGTCACACACAGTAAACCTCGCCATGGAATGTGGATATACAGAACGGATGCCAAGGGCTAACAAGGCAAGATGCTGAGATCAAAGCTGGGAAACCAATGGGGACTTAGGAGCCTCCATACTGATAACGAACCAAGCTGAGCCGGAGAGGCTGCCAGCCACTGAGTCAGGCCCGAGAGTCAGAGCTGAGCTGCAGGAGTTGAGTGAGGCACAGGGCCAGATCCAGACAAACAAGTGGATGGATGGCGGATTCTGACGGTGAATATGAAGATGGACAGGGGCAGTCCCAGTAGCCTGTATCAACAGTGGGAACAGAGTCAAGCTGAAGCCCTGGGGCGGTCAGGAGTTCTCTGCCTTCCAGTCCCTTGGCACATACACTGGGTAGTCAGGTTGACCAGTTGGTGGGAACATCACCACTGCAGTGCTAAATGTCTACCTCTCTATGGGTCCAGGTGAGAGAGTTATAGCCTTGCCTTGGTCTAACATGTCTGATAAGTTCTTGGGTCTGTTTTTCCTGATATGATTTTACTATGCATGTGTGCCCCTACTTACAGGGTGGCATCCTTTCTAGTCTTAGGAATAAGTCATTTGGCAGTATGCACTGCAAAGATGGTACCAGGCAGATGAGCTGTTCATGTGCCCACTCACGTGTCCAGCCATCCTCCACCCTCAAAATGGGTCCAAAGCTTCTTGAAAGATTGAATCTCTCAGGACAAGGTGCAGAAAGACTGCTGTCTTCCACATATGAAGTGACACAGGGCAGGGCACAGCCTGGTGTCCACAGTCAGAGGGAAGCTTGCCCTTAGGAGCTCTCCAAAAGTGCTGGAGATGAGCAAGAAGACAGCGAGAGGTAAGGGGGAGTATCTGGGGTAAGTACAGGATTGTGGGGAGGCACAGAGCCAGAGGTGTATGAGGAGAAGGGGAATCAAGTGTAAAACAACTTCCCAAGTGGGGCTGGAGAGATTGCTGAATGGTCAAGAGCACTGGCTGCTCTTCCAGAGGACCCAGGTTCAATTCCCAGCACCCACATTGCAGCTCACAGTAACTCCAGTTCCAGGGGGAATCTGATCCCTCTTCTGGCCTCTACAGGCACTAGGCATGCATGTGGTACAGATATACATGCAGGCAACACACTTACACACAGAAAAATAAACATTTAAAAGAAGAACTCCCCAAGGCAGGCACAGGGCCCCTCTTCACAGAAGGAGAGCCGAGACTGCTCCCGACAGTTGGTGCCAAGGCTCTGCCATCAAGAGTGGCAAACAGAGGCTGCAGGCAGAAGGGGTGGCCTCGGTACACATAGCATGACCTTGAGCTGAGCAGACTGTCCAGATGCCAACAGACCGGTAAACCAAAGACAGGAGGGTCAAGGTCAGGTGACCTGTCTACGCTCCCCCAGCACCTCCACCTTCTTTCTGTCTGGAAGTCTCATTCCAAACCTCTCCGCACTTTATGCTGCTTCTGCTGAGAAGTCCACCCCAGGCGCTCTCACCGTGCTTCCCTGCCTGGGATGTGACTGGCTTTGTCCGGCTTCCTTTTCTCCTTCTCCTCCTTTTTCCCTTTTCTCCTTCTTCTTTTTTTAAAAGGTGTATTTATTTTGTTTTTGTGGGTGGCTGTTTTGCATGTGTACATGCATATCTCTCATGTGTTTGTCTGCACTCTCTGAGGTCAGAGAGGGCATTGGATGCCCTGAAACTGGAGCCCTAGATGGTTGCGAGCTGC